GAGAGAGAGAGGCGGTTTGGAGCTCGAGGCGACAGGTGGGAGAAGGAGCGCCTGACACGTGGAAGAGGTTGTGATTAGGAGGGAAAGTTTGAATTTTGAAGGTGGAAGGTGAAAGGTTTTGGAGGGAAAACCCGAAACTAAAAGGCCAGGCTCAACGTTTGGACTCCCACATATCCAAACGGACGGGTCATGCAGCGTGATCTACAAATCCAAAAGTGCCAGGTCTGGTATGAAGACGATGAATCCAAGAAATGGGCAGGTCTCCATGGAAAGGTCATGGGAATGGCTTGACAATTTCAAAGAAGGACAGGACAGGTCTTGAAAAGGAAAGGCTTGGCAATCCAGAGAAAGACAGGTCTTGAAAGAGAAAGGTATGATAATTACAAAAGTGACGGGTCTAAAAGGACAGGTCAATGAGAATGACTTGATAATTTAGAAGAAGGACAGGTCATGGGAATGACTTGATGATTTCAAAGAAGGACAGGTCACGGGAATGACTTGATGATTTCAAAGAAGGACAGGTCATGGGAATGACTTGGTAATTTCAAAGAAGGACAGGTCATGAGAATGACTTGATGATTTCAAAAGTGATAGATCAACATAAATATACTTCCCGCCCTTGGTGACTTCCTCACAAGGCCGGTAAGTGGAGGACTTCTTGATGGGTATATCCTTATACCCGACCCGGACAACCGAAAGGGACAGGTCAAAATATGACCGGTCACTTTTATCAATCACCAAATGAGGTTAACTCTTCGATTGGGACGGGTCAAAAGTTGACCGGTCACTTCCACTAAAAAGTGACCGGTCACATTTTGGGCGTTAGCCAAAATGTCGCCTAATGTTACAAAGGACATTCTAGAAGACCAGAGACGGGTTGAGCACAAAGAATGACCGGGTAACTTTTGAAGAAGGTGACCGGTCATATCACTTTACTTGGCTAACATTGGTTCAGTCTATTAGGCATGGTGAACCACGTCAGAGGTCAAGGGGACACCCCGCCGCTCATCCATCACGAGGCACACAGTGAAAGGGATGTTTGTCATTTTGCAGGGTTGATTGGATTGAGAATATCCATTTTAGTCTTTGATTGAACAGTACATGTCTT